CAGAATGCCAAAGGTTCAAAGGGCAGCTCCATTAACACAGATGAGCTCCCCATCCGACAGTGGATGAGTCCATTACCAGCATCTTGGCAGATAGACTTATATTCTCTAACCTTAACTGAATTCCTTTACAGACTGTATTCTTGGTCTAACTATATACTTTACTTGTTCAGTACACACAGTAAATAGAGATAACAATGAGCAATATAAAAAGTAAAAAAAATGGAGACTGCATCTCTATGCCTTATACTGTGGACATGCAGAGAGAGGAGCAAATTCTGGAGGTAAGTTAGACTATTTACAAGTGGTCCTGAAGGCTACCAGAATTCCCAGTTCACAGGCTTTTTCTTCTCATTGATTTTGTCATCAGTGAACATTTTTTGCCATTGAGCTAAGAGATGCTTGATGCAGTAGGACAATCTCTGCAATCTCAAAGGGATGGATTAATGTCCTGGATGCATGGATATTTCTGGAAAATCTAATTAATAATTTAAGGGAAAAACTCAGGATCTTTTATAAGTCAATAAGAATAATAACTCTATATATAGTTTAAATCATGGCTTAATTTAGTTATAGCTAGCACTAATATATATATCTGATCTTCAAGCAGACCAAGACTATTATGAAACTGACTTCTAGAAGTAATGGGTTTGGCAAAATGATAGCAGATCAGTGTTTTGGAAATAGTAAATCTCAATGTTGACTTTTGGGAAGAAATTGGATAGAACACAGAGTACTATCTTCTGTTGATGGAATGTAAAGTACTGTTATAACAGTTCTCCAAGCTTGGGCATCGCCCAGGCAGAAACAAAAGGCATGAAAAAGGCCATTCTGAAGAACAGGAATTAGAATACCACCTCTTGGAATGGTTCAAATGTTTTTTTGGTTAAAGACTAGAGTACCAGCTTGAGCATCTATATGAGAAATATCTTAATTTCTGGAGGTTTCAATAACATTCATGTCTTTTAAAAATCTCTTGACATGTGAGCAAACTGCAAAGTCTGGAGTTATCTGAATTCAGCATAATACACAAGGGTGAAATTACTGAATTAGTGGATACCCAAACACCAGACCATATTGTAAAAGTAAAATCTGCAAAATGCTTAGGATGCTGTAGACTTCATGCATTAGGTTATGATGTTTACCTGAGTGTCTTACATATATTAATGGTGTTAGCCTTTGTCATTATGAGGTTTAATGCTGCTGGATTTGGAGGAAGCATTAAGTCCGGAGAAAAGGTCATAGCTGAATAAAAATAGCAAGAAGTGTCTTCTTATCACATCTGGGAACCAAAGCCTGGGTCACCAATTTGGTGCCACAAGTATCATCCTGACCCTTTCCTGTCAGACCAGTATTTTTCAATAGTCCAGTCCCATTTAACAGTCAAGAAGCTGAAGGGCATTGTGATAAATGAAGTGTGGGGGGGTGTAGCGCCCTTTGATGGACACCCAGCCAGCCAGTTAGCTGTAAAATCCCTCTTGGTAGCTGTTCTCTACTTGCTTCACCTGTAAAGGGTTAAAAAGTCCCCCAGGTAAAGAAAAAGAAAAAAGTGGCCACCCGACCAAAAGAGCCAATGGGAAGGCTAGAACTTCTTAAAATTGGGAAAGAAATTTTCCCTTGGTCTGTTGCTCTCTCTGGGCTGAAGAGACAGGCAGCAGGAATGCTGTGTAAAGTTTGAAACAGATATGAAAACCATCAGATCATATCTAGAACTTTTAACAACCCAAATATGTAAGTAAATTAGGAATGTTTAGAAAGACACGATTAGGTTTATTTCTGTTTATTTTTTAAGGCTTGTAAACTCCTCTGTGCTAACCCCAGATGCTTTTGTTTCCTTGTAACCTTTAAGCTAACCCCCAAGAAAGCTATTTTGGGTGCTTAATTTTTGGAATTGCTCTTTTAAAAACTAGCAAAAGCCTAAGTTCCAGATGTATTTTCTTCCTTTTTGTTTTTAATAGAATTTACCTTTTTTAAGAACAGGATTGGATTGTTGGTGTCCTAAGAGGTTTGTTCATGTTGTTTGATTAGCTGGTAGCAACAGCTAATTTCCTTTGTTTTCTTTCTCAGCTCTTCCCCAGAGGGGGAGTGGGAAAAGGGCTTGAGGGTACCCCACAGGGAGGAATTCCCAAGTGCTCCTTCCTGGGTCCAGAGGTTTTTTTTGCATTTGGGTGATGGCAGCATTTACCAAGCCAAGGTCAGAGAAAAGCTATAACCTTGGGAGTTTAATACAAGCCTGGAGTGGCAAGTATTAATTTTTAAAATCCTTGCGGGCCTCCACCTTCTGTACTCAAAGTGACAGAGTGGAGATTCAGGGTTGACAGGCATATTCTTCCAGTACTGTGACTCCCCAGAGTCTACTCCTGCATCTCTTCCTTTGATAAAGCAACCGGGGGAGGGCCTTGCGATTCTCCTCTGTGACAAACATGGCAATTCCCAGCTCTCCTAGTTGTCCGCTATGGCTGCATTTATACTAAAAAATTCCACCTGAAGCTACAGTACAATCTATCCTTATTAATCACCCTGCTTCAGGTGTACACCGTGTGCCCATCCTCATATAACAGTGCCCGCACGTGTTGCAGGGCCTATAGATTGTTGCATCTATCCCACAATTCCTGGCACAGTTCCCTGGAGCAAGTGCATAACATATTACAGGCAGAACTGGTAGCAATGCCAAACACTTTCTATTAGTTACTTTCATTTAACTTTGCTGAACTTCAACCATTTGGGCTGAATTTTCCATGCTGGATGGCTGAATGTTTTTAGAATATTTCACAAAAAAAGTTAAGTTGTTTCTCAGAACAAGGCTGGAAAGAATTATGTTGTTTTGCCCATCTTGAAAAATTCTTACAAACATTTCACTAAGACACTAGCATCTCCATGCTTTAGAGCAGGGATGTGAAACTGGAGGGTATGGGGTAAGGTGGTGCTGCCCTGGTATCAGGAATATGCCTTCTGCTGCCCTCATGAAAAAACTGCCCAAATCTGGCCAAATTATAAGCCTCAAAAAAAAAAAAAAAAAGAAGAAGAAACCCTGCAGTTCACACATACTCACTTGAGACTTGAAGTTTGGTAGAAACAGTCAATGAAGAGTCTGTCTGCACTGGGCTTGCACCAGGGCTGCAGGTGGTGAGAAGGATTTTCCCTGCAATTGCTCTGCCCTGCAATCAGGGGCCACTGTGGTGTTTGGCATAGGAAATGAGAGGAGGGAGTCTGTCTCTCCTGTGCTCTCAATGCTTCTGGTTGCTGATGCCCAGGAGAAATGAACAATGCATTTTGAATGGAACACAGGGTGAGGAACAGAGCATAGGTAGTGAGGGGAGGTGCATCCATGTGGAAAAAATAGTATGATAATGATTCTATAATTAAAGACTGTATCTTAATGCATATGCACAAGGGGACCCTAATCTCAGAGTTGCAATGCCATGGCAGAATTATCAACCTTTCCCGCAAAACTGCTGCTGGACCAAATTCAGGCCTGGAGACCCAAGGGAACTATTCTGACTAGTGCCACCATCTTTGGGCAGTAGTACTATATTCACCCTATTCATATCTCCATCCCCCCATCTCTCAACAAAATACTGAGTTTTTACTGAGGGCTTCAGCCTAAAACAGCCGCTCTTACTATACTGTACTAGAAGGAAAGCAGTACCTAGAGTCAGTCAGAGGCAAAAAAGGATATCCCAGATCTCTTCCTCCACTGTTTCTATAAAGGTAACCTAACAAGTCTACAAACACAAACTAAAACTGTGATGCTGAGAGAAAAGGTTAACTTATTAAATTGCAAAGTTATATCAGCACTGAAATATAAATACCAACAGAGAAAGATTGTGAGGACAGAAGCAGGTAAAAATGGAAGAAGAGATATGGTAAATTAGGCAGGAAAAAATGAAAAAAGCCAGACGAAGGGCTGGAATTGATACAAAAGTTAATTGTATATCTATATCACCATCATGAAACTTCAGTTGTCTCTGATATTTCCTTTATTTTCGAGCTGGCTGTGGAACATTATGAGCCAAATATCCAAAAAGAACTTATTACCAATCCTAACATCTTGTCTACCTCCTTCAATCTATTCAAAATCCCACCGCCTCCCGTCACTATGCCATCACTCTACCCGATTCCCTTTATTAGCATCCTAAAAAACAAAAACATAAAAAACATATAACACTCCACACACACACCCACACCCACACCCATAAATTCAAGTTCCTTGTCCTTACTTTCAAGGTTCTGCAATATCTCATCCCTACATATACAGAATCTCCATTTAAAACTTCCTCATACACGTCTACTAAATTTCTATCCTTACTTTTCCCTTCATCTTTTCCTGTTCGGACTTTGTGCCTCCTTTCATACTGCCCTCTATGCTTGGAACACCATCCACTTATCCACCAGTATCTTCTCTCCCTCCCTTTCACGCATCTTAAATCCCATTTCTTCAATAAAGTCATCATAAACTGGTTTCCTCACTTTCTTAGCAACCAAATAGGTGTAATATGTACTTCCATCCTGTTAACGGTGCAAAAAGTAAATGAGGGAAGCAAGCAGTAGATCACACTTCAACAGGTTTATGCTCCCCATTGGTGAGGTGGTTTAAGAGCTTTAGTGTTCCAAAGGTTGCTGAATTGCCACCAGTCACTGAGTGCATGGATCCAGGAGTGGGAATATTTAGCTTTTAGGGAAATATGGCACACAAACAAAAAAGTTTTTTGAAATAATTTTTTCAAAGTTTTCCCATGAGATTTCTGCGGCTGTTTAGAGAACCATTTGTTAATGCGGAAAAAATACAGAAAAATCAATCATGCAATAACTGATTTTTTTATACGTGGATTTTAATAATCTACAATAGAATTTATTTTAATGTACTGAATGCTACTTTGCATAGAGAAACATTTAAAAATAGTGATTATTTTCGATTGTTCAGATTTGGACAATAAGACAATTCTACATGAAAACAATTTCAAAACAGCAGCATATTAAAGAAACAGACACAAAAGATTTACCTTGCTGAGTTTTCTGTTCTTGAGTTCTATTCACAGTGAGGTCTAGAGGGCTATCCTGTTCTTCCTGAAGGGAGTTTTCCGTTTGGTTCATTTGGATATTTTTACATATCAGACTTGGTTCAAATGATGAACCATTTCTATTCTCTTGAATTTTGCTACTTTTTGAAATGTATTCAATTGCAAACTGACGGATCATCTTTTTCATTAATTCCTGAGCAACTAGGGGAATGTTAGGATCACAGTTCTGAGGAAGATCTGGGGAGGGGGAAAAACACATGGAATACATGCATTAATATAAATGAACAATTTTCTTTGATTATCTTTCTTTTAATAATGGTAAAATACTTACTCAAGAAATTTAATCATTTTGGCCCAGATTTTGAATCCCTTTCTACTTTACTCCATGTATAATTCTATGGAATCAATGAGATTACCTGGAAAGTAAGGTACTACTTAATGTAAGTAAGGGTACCAGAATCTAGCCCTTTGACTTTTAAAATATACTGAGCTGAAATTTGTCTTGTAGACTTCTAGGTCTGTGGTTTCACATGTGAAAGGCGTTTAAACAAAAATAGTGCAAGTGAATTAAATAAAGCTATAAGTCACAATGTAATGTTACTTTCAGAATGAACTTTTACTATAGCAAACAAAATATTATTTTAAGAATGTAGTTTTACAGACAATTAATCCTTAGTACTGATTGGAACATTCTGACATTCTCAGAAAAAACAAAGATTAAGTTTGACAAAGAGCTGTTTCACTTACACATTAAGTTAACTTTCATTGTCCACATTGTCAATTCAGGATTGCCAAGCCAAGTTGGTAAGATGTCATTAGGAATGTCCCATACAAATAGTAGTTCTGTAATAAACTAACATTTGATTTCTCAAACTTTTTCATGGTGTGTACCATGTTCTAATAGAGAAACTATTGTCTTAGAGAACAATTTCCTTTCCCATTTTCAATTATGAGGCCATATCTCCTTTAATTTGTGTTCACACAACATCCCTATGGCAAAACCAACAATTGCTTAATTTTTTCCAACACAGAAAAGTAGTATTAGGAAAGCGTGTAACATATTTTAGCCATCTTTTAATGCATTTACCAGCTGGAAAAAGGAATAGAGATAGCATCACGTGATTAGCTGGGTCTCATCAGATCACTAGCAACTTTGTCATAGACCAGTTTGAGAAACACCAAAGTAAAGTAAAATCCCACCTTCTGCTGCAATATAAAAGGTCTGCCAAATCAACAAAGCAAAAAAATTTAGCACTGAATAAGAATAGTTAGAAAAATTATCGAAATAGATCATTACTCCCTTATAGTTTCTGACTTAAGATGAGTTTTCAATGCAATACATGGGATTTACTCTCACAGATACAAAAATCATCCAATGGAGTTGAATAGCTAAATCTCCATATCCCATTCAACAATGAACCCTTACATGTCTGAATCACATTTTATTTTGACAAAAAAAGATGTTTCTATGGTTAATAACCTCAGTTTCATTGTGTTTTAATTGTGCTTTAAATATTCTGGCAATATTGTTTTACAGCAGACCAAGTGTCGTGGCAAAGAGTGTGGGGAACCTTATTAAGGTAGGATTACTTATATTGTAATTCTGCTTCTCTGAAGATACAATTTTGGCAGAATTCTCACTTGTGCATTTTAGCACAAGACAGACACCACTCCTCAAGCTCTAAGACTTTTGGTCCCTACGGGCAGCCGTATTTGGTTAGGGAGTTATCCTCCTCTCTTCCATCCTCCTCCCCCTCCAGCAACACAAGTGGCACACGAGACCCAGGAATCTAACCACTGCCCTTTTTTGAGCTCACAGGTACTGTGTCGGAGAACTTTCATCGGCTTCGTCAAGACAATGTCACTATCCTATTACACCATGAACTTTTTGATGGGGATTTCAATAGTGTCAAGCCTCTCAAAAACTTACAATAAGGGATGCAGAGAAACTGGTTTACCCTTCAACTAGGATCTTGAGAAGCTGAAAAGTCTGCCAAATGAAGCTGGATGCAGTTACTGTGGTATTTAAATTATTCTCAGGTAATATGCAACCACCAGTGGAGACGCGCAGGTGGGGTAGCTTGCATCCCAACACACTCTCTCTGCCTTTAGGAACCACAAAAACTACAGAACTTGGGGAGTTCACCCTACGTTATTATGCTAGGGAGCACAAAACCCAGGAATGAGAAATCTGCCCATCTGGCATCTTTAGTGAAATACAATTACTATCAAAGTTGCTGAGCTAACATAATAGTGGAAGAGTAAGCTATATAGCAATATTCTCTCCATAGCCACAAAATTACTGTTTCTTTCCAATTTCAGAATCTTTACTGCTGATCATATGTAAATCACACACACACACACACACACACACACACACACACACACACACACACACACACTGACTGTTAGAACCCAGGTTGAACCTGCAAAGCTAGTAATTGGAGAAGTCATCTTTTCACTCAGTCTGAACACTGAGGATTCAAATTTCCCATCAAAACATTCTCTCAAATATTAGGCTTTTTTTAAAAAAATCCCTTCTGAACATTTTCCAATTTTAGATGCCCTATGGGAAAACTCCATTAAAATCATCCCAGATCTTCAACTGCCAGTTACTGTAAATTTACAGATTTAAACTTATTTACCATAAAATGCTAATATAGGGAGAATGTGTGTGTGGGTGGAAGAGGCAGAGCATGACTCAAGATTGCACATGACTTAAATATGAATAGTACTTTCAATTTCATATTTTATTGTTATCTTTATACCTAAACATAGGACTACTTTATATTTGTTTTTCTACAATTCTTTAAAGAACTCTTGGGACTCAATGCCAAACAAGCACATACAACTTATGTGTATGGGTATATATATTTAACTGAAAGACCAACACAGAACCTAAAAATAAGCCCTAAGGTGCTAATCACTTTGCTCACCAGTAGATGCTACTTTGGTTTCACATCATCAGGGCCAGTTTTTTCTTATAAATAACATAACTTATGTAAGAGCTCTGCAGCTAAAAGGTTAAGTGAGATTCAGGCCACAAAGTCCTTGATAATAACTTTGAAAGACTGGGTTCAAGATCAGAGCTGTGTGAAATTCTGTATTTACACACCTGAAAACATCACCCCTCTCAAATCCTGGTGAAAAATCTTTAAGAAACATGAATTTCATTAGTCTGGACCAGATTAAAAAAATATCAGCAACTTCCTTGGGGACGATGTGCATCTCATACTCCCTATGTATTCCTCCTTTGTTCATTTATGTACCCAACTCAACCCTGACCTAGTGAGATACCACATCTGAATCTGGTGGTAATCTGGCCACATCAGTGTTACTGAAATATACAGAGAGAGTGTGCACTATACTACTATTCTTTCCAAGACAGATCATATTTCTTTAACTTTTCATATGGTGGAGGAATCACATTGAGTAGAAAAAATTGTTTGGGGGAAAAGAATGAGAAACATAGCATTTCTTTTCAAATATGATACCGCAGGGAACTGATTAGAAGTATTTTGGAGAAGATATAATGCCCCACAGATCTTCAAGATAGGTTGAAGTAAAGTGTTGGGGGTCTTGAATGTGCTACCAGTCACTGAGAAAAATTCTAACAAAAACAATAAGTGATCTTGGATTTAAACAGGATTTTCAATCACATACTGTATACTTCTGTCAAGTAAAAATTTACTTATGAAAAATACATTTAAAAATTACATTTCAGTACTTAAGTGTATGTTGATGAATACTGAAAAATATTTTAAAAAGATAAATTCAATAAAGGACTTGCTAGGTTGAAGTAATCAAATTATAATACACCTCTATCCCGATATAACGCGATCCAATATAACATATATCCGAATTCAACGCGATAAAGCAAAAATGGTTCTCTGTCTTGTCTACAATATACTTTTATTCGGTTTAATCCCAGTTTATACATGTAATGATTACCGCATATATATTCAGTATGCATGTTTTTACAAGCCTGCCTTGGATCGAAAGTCAAAACACAAAGCCGAGCGCCTTTCCAGCATTTTTAAACTTTCACTCCGATCTTCATTTCATAAAAAACAGTCTTGTCTGCAAGTCTTAATTAAAGTTATAACGTTGACAGTTTAAATCCGTTGATAGTTTAAAAACCATTGAAAGTTTAAATTAGTTTTGCGGACAACAAAACCATATGCGAGGTGGTAGCTAATTTTCAATGGCCGTTATAATAAAAACGGCTTTTGTATTTATAACCATGACTAATTTATCAAAAAGGAGAGTTCAGTCTAACTTCGTCGTTGACTAACCTGCTGCCGCCTTGCCAGTTTAAAGTTGTTACAAAACCATCTGTGGTCGGCGCCTTGGCTCTTAAAATGTGGCTTGTATCAAATTACATACATACAATACATTGTCTGTACAAATGTGCATGTATCAAAGTGGTGGAACGAATGTGCAACAATGAGAAGGCAGGGGTAAACGTATGCTGCCTGCCCATGGTCCCATTAGGCGTTCTCATTTCTCCCGCCTATTTTAATCTTGTTTCTAAATTGTGTGCAGTATAGACTAAGCTTAAGTTGTCTCACTAGTTGTATTTTGGAAACACTAACGCTGCGCTGTCATTTTCTAAACCATTATAAAAATTGTTAGCATTAATATTAAAATACCATTGACATGATGGCAATTAGTTCACAGCCACAGAAACGAAAGGCATGGACAGTCAAAGAAAAATTGGAAGCTTTGGACAGACTGAAATCAGGAATGAGCCAAGCAAAGGTCTCAAAAGAATTAGGAGTCGGGGGAATCAACATGAAGAGGGTGGATCAAAGATGAGGAAAAATTACGATCAATGCTAGTTGAACTGCATGAAAGTGAAGGCCTGGAAAGGAAGCGCCTAAAACTGCCCAACTAGATAGAGCAGTATTTACATGGTTTACCCAAGAATGCTCCGACGGCACACCAATTTCCAGTGACATTATAAGGAAACAAGCGGAGAAATTGAAGAAGGATCTCGATTTTAGACGCTCGGGTGAGGACACTTCTGCACATCAAGGTAACGAATTTAAAGCTAGCAGTGAATGGCTTAATTGTTTTAAAAAATGTCATGGCATTCGGCAAATCACAATTTCAGGAGAGACGTGCTCTGCAGATATAAAAGCTTGCAACCAATACCCGCTAAAGTTACAAGAGATCATCATCGAGAGTGGCTATGCTCCGGAGCAAATCTATAACGTTGATGAAACCGGCTTATG